GGCCCTGCGCGCACACAGACACGCACACAAACACAGACAAACACACAGACAACCTCTCGTCAATATGCGTTTTTCGCAGTGCATAGCTGCAAAAAAAGGCACAACAAGTACAAGCAAGATAGAAACTAAAAGCAAGGAAAAAGTACCAGCAAGAAAGAAAGCAAAAGAAAGAAAAGCAAGCGAAAAACCGGCCGTAAATAGGGAATATCCCCATCCGTAAAGTTGATGTTTGGGTGAAGAAAGCTGAAAGCGAATAAGGTGAAGCTAATGCCTAGTCCTCAGCTTTACCTAATCATCAGCATTTTGATCCCTCAGCTTTCCTAAGCATCAGCAATTTGATCCCTGAACCTTACCTAAGCATCATCTGGGAAAGTCCTTTGTTGGTAATGAGTTCTTCACTGCTTAAAGCTTCCTTACTTATGAAGCTGATGCTTAGGCAGACCTTCCGTATGAAGCTGATGCTTAGATAAACCTGAGAGATCACATTGCTGATGCTTGGGTAAAGCTATGGGATTAAATTGCTGGTACTTTTTTCTTGCTTTCCTCCTATCAAGCCATCACCCCTTCCCTCTCCCTTAAGTGGCCTAGGCAACTGCCAAAGAATCTACGTCATGTAGCCATTCAGTAATTAGCCAACTCGTCCCCCTTCCTCGAATCCCTGCGAGCGAAACCTGCACACATCACCCTCCCCCTTCATCCCCATTACAACCCCCTCTCCGCGTCTCGAATCCAACATCCAAAGCGTGCTCATGCATTGCCAACCCATGCATTCCCCTCCTCCCCCTTCTATGCCCTCTATAGTACACCCCTGTCGAACCCTTTTCATACCGCTTGCATCCGCTACAAAACCAGCAACACGGGTTTTGTTCCCTCCGCCCATCACCCCCTCTCCGCTGCGTGGCCGCCCCTCTCCCAACGTCCCCTCCCAATCCCCGTTCTCCCCGTGCCCTTTCCTTTCCTGCCCCTCTCTCCTCTCTCTCATCGCTTGCTACTACACAGTCTGCAGGCAAATTCACAAACCATGCAGACGCCGCTGCGAGCTGGGGCCGGCCGGGGGGAGCCGAGGCGGCCGAGATGGAGCCGAAATGAAGCCGAGGTGTAGCCGAGGCGAGCCAAGCCGATCCAAGTCGAGCTTTAGTGATTGTCTTTTTTAGGACCACAAACCAGTGAATCGTGCTTTTCTGGGATTTATCAGATAGTTGCAGGTGTTTCATCTTTTTCCGTCCGCACAATCAACCGGCAGAAATATTTTCTATTATTCTATTATCTATTATCAGGCAGAAATTATATTCTATTATCAATGTATCACTTGATATTTATTGTCGAGTACCGACACGTTATTGCAGATTTGTTATTTGTCGAATTGTCAAAATTTGCTTGTTGTGAAAATTTTTATTTGTCACTGTTGTCGGATGTTGACATGTCGAGCACTATCAATTGCACTCGTGGTACTCACTTTTGTTGTCGAATTTCGAAGTGACATAGAATAAAACGAATGCAGTGGCGTGTAGTACGCTTAATTTGGTTTTCTTTTCCTCAATTCGAAATTCCAGTTTAGATTCATGCAACGTGATATGCTGTCAACGTGATATGAAATAAAAGAAATGGCAAAACTGAAAATGGCAGAACCCCGACTAGGCGTATGAAAGCGAACAGCGACCTTGTTGGGTAAGCTTCGTTGGGAACAAAGCGAAGGTTGTGTACCAGTTCCAAAAAATTTAAGTTATCCCGAACCAGTGAGCATGACGTTCGTTTTGTTGGTAAATTGGTATTGTTGGTAAATTATTTACTTTTATGGATGCTGTGACCAATCCCACAAGTTTCATTTTGACATGTCACAATATTTAAACAAACAGTGCACGAACACTTTGGAACAGCAGACAACAGTTAACTGGATAACTACCCACCATCGATGGTAATTGTCGACGCTACAAAAGACCGCTGATTACCAAAGAACACCAATACTTCTGAAACCAACAGAGAAACTATTGCTAAAATCAAGAATCAAGAAGCCCAGAAGAATGTGACTCATGAATTTGTGGCCCTAAAGAGGGCCGTTTGGGTTAGGGTTGGGGGGCACAGTTTATGCCCGTTCGCCGCGGATGCGACGCGCCAACTGGATGTCCTTTGGCATTATGGTGACACGCTTGGCGTGGATGGCGCACAAGTTGGTGTCC